GGAGCAAATCCGTCCCCATCGCCACGAGGAAGTTACCACAGCTGTCGACAAGGAGGTTCACCAAGATCACCACCATACTACCATTCAGCCTGTTAAGCACCAGGAGACTCTGTAAGCAATTCTATCTACATTTTGTGAAGCCTTCCAACTGATTGTCTCAATTCCCAGCCCCGAGAAGCACCACCACAACATTGTTCCGGTTGCACACAAGACTTTCGACCACGGAAACGAGAGAGAAACCAAGGACACTCTCGACCGGGAACACGCAAAGTTCAAGGACACTTCTACTACACACGAGACCACTCACACTTCGACCACTGCCCCCGCGGTCACTGGTGAGAGAGTGCACCACCATATCCATGAGCACATTCAGCCTGTTATTCAGAAGGATACTATCCAGCCTCATATTGTCCACACCACTATTCCCATTCACGAGACACACCACGCCAAGCCTATCCACCACGAGGCTACCACTCTCCCTGTAAAGACTCTCGAAGAGTTTACCAGGGAGAAGGGAAGTCTCACGGACGGCCCTCGTCACCACCGCTACGACGAGTTTGAGGGTTGCCCTGACAAGTATCACAAGGATCTCGGCAACACTCACCAGTCAGGAATTGGTCATAGCCATGACCACAGCCATGGGGCCGGTAAGGCAGCCGTCGGCACTGCCGCCGCTGGCGGTGCTGCAGTTGCCGCTCACAAGCACCACGAGCACAAGAACGAGCAAGAGCGTGGCCTTGACAGCCATCACCACTCTGGCCCCGGCAAGGGCACCACTGCTGCTGGCACCGCTGCCGCAGGAGGAGCTGCATTGGCTGCCCACAAGCACCACAACAACGAGACTGCCACCCACGGCGTGAACGACCGCGGCCTCGGCCACACCGGTCTCGAGAGCCAACGTGTCAACCAGCACAACACTCACTCCGGATCCGGGGCTGCTACCGCTGCTGCCGGCGCTGCCGCCGCCGGTGCTGCCACCCATCACGGCCACAACAACACCACCGGCACTCACAACCCCCTCGGCTCCCACAGCACCACTGGTACGCACGGCACCACTGGTACGCACGGCACCGACAGTCTTGCTGCTGCTCAGGCTGCTAACACTCGTGCCAACAACACAGCCGGAACTGGCAACCTGTCCCACAACCAGACTACTGGCCGCGATAATATCGCCCACAACCAAACTGTAGGTGACAAGTCCATCAGCACCGCCCAAGGTATTATGCACGGGACTCATCCTACCGGTACCCAGACTTCTGGTAGCAACTACACCACTTCTGGCAGCCCTACCACTGCAACTCACGGCAGCTCAGGCCTGAACAAATCTGAGGTGAGTCTAGCGTCAAATCATATTATCTACTCACAGTAATTTGACCATATTCTTAGCCCCGCTTCGGCTCAACTGGCACTAGCACCAGCCACAGCGGTGCCGGCAAATCCTCAACCACTGACCATGCTACGCATGACGCGACTGGAAAGAAGATCTCGCTTGTTGACAAGTTGAACCCCTTCAAGGATGCTGATGGTGACGGCCACAAGGGCATCATGAGCTAAATGCATGACAATGTCCTGAGCGTTTCTTTAGTTAGTCATATGCATTAATAGGATTGATCATAATATTACAATGATTGCTTGCATCTTATACATCGGCCCAGTGCATTCAAAAAATTATGAAATTTCTTCTGGCGTTCTTGCCCTTTCTGGCCCCAATCCGAATTCTTCACGCCTCTGTTCCATCTTTTGAATACTGCTCTTCGTTAGCTTAACAATACGCCCCTTGGTAATCTTCTTCAACATGAATTGAATCTTCGGGCCTGGGTTGCATCGGGTACTATGCCCATCATGGAAGCATATCTCGTTAGCAATGCCCCGAATGCGATCCATAAAGCTCGCCACAGGTTCCATCCGAGCACACTTCACTTCCAAACCAACACCACCACTTGTGTCGCCCATGCCTCTCATCAAGCTGCCTAGGATAATGAAGTTGCAATGCTTCCTGTCCTCACAGGTGGCCCTCTTATCAACACAGCACCCGTCGTTGAACATGAGTTCTCTGATAACGGAGTTAATCTGGAGTGGTAGGGTGTTGATGATGTCTTCTCGCTGTCTGTGGAGAATCTCTACAGACTCCTGTTAGCAGTCCCCTCAAGCACGGCAGCAGATCCAAGGGGTAAAGCAGGCATGGATGTTACCAAGTAGACCGGGTGGGCCGATAGGACCAACGTCATCCAACAACACCTTCTGGCTGACCATGCGTTCGTCTTCGCTGAGCGAGGAATACATAATCAATTCCTTGACCATCTGCCTATGCAGCTCAACCTGCCCCAACTCCCACGCCACATATGACAATGCTGCCCTCTCTCGGCCTTCAAAGCGATTCGTACCCTTTTGGCAGTTCTCCGCCACATGCAACCAAGAAACAGCCCAAGGTTTCAGAGCCGGAATCATGTCGTACTTGTTCGCCATCTGAAAAATCTCATAAAGCTCAAACAGGTCAGGTGTATTCGGGACCAATGGGAAGTTCGCGTGGATGATATTGAGGATTATTTCCAAAGCCTCGGGGTCGTCTTCAGGGAGGTTCACCACCCATGGCCCAAACGCCGGTTTAGATTCTTTGAATGGACCAAAGAGCATCTTCTTCCAGACCTGCGATGAACGTCGCAAGGCGCTGGCGCAGACGTGGAATAGCCTTTCGGGCTTGTCTGTCTGCTGCCCCGCCCGCAAGGTGAGGTCTCCATCGGGGTCGATTTGGACTTCTATGACGCTGGAGAGTCCGCCGTTGGTGTCATCCGCAGCCCGTAAGTCGTCCATGGAGATTCGGAGAATATGATGCGATCACAAATGTCATGAGGCTGAAAGTTGCCCGTACATCAATTTTTACGTCATACTTGAAAGATGGAAGTTATGACAAGTTCTCACTGAGCCTTAGGCATTATGTCAGGAAAGTTGGCAAAGTTGGAAACTTAAGAAACAAAATATCTTCAAGGGTCCAGGGACCATCCGTGCTTTCAGGGTCGCATCGAGTGGTTACATAAGCGAGGATTTTCCTGGAATAGCTTCATTGGGCAACCACGAAACTCTCGCAGGGTGTCTGAAGTAATTGATTGAATGTCTCCCTTAATCGGAAGGCTTTTTAAAAGTAGAAAAAGTCATAATCTTAGCGCTTGAAATCTTCCTCGCCAGTTGTGTTTTGAATAGTCCGAAGTATCTTGGCGGAATTGGTGGAACACAGCGATTTCTTATCATCACCATGATTTTGCCGCGAAAACTTCATCAAATTCAAAAACTGAGAAACGAAATGGGATATTTGAGTTTTCGGGGCCGAAAATCGTGAATTCGACATCGATCGGTCTTTTTCAACTTGCCTACCTGGAATTCTCAAATCGTCTATACTTTATTTGGGATAAACACAGGTTACTAAATCTGAGGAACTTGGTCACACAACATAGAAAAAGTACTTCTATTATCTTTTCAGGTAGGACAAGTAGTCGATCTAAGCTTATCCCTAATCTGCGTTCCACCAAGTACTATGGTAATTAAATATTGCATGATCCATTTCAAAAAAGTTCAACTGATAAAAACCTAAGACGCCTCAGAAACAGCACTTTGCAACTTTGAGATAGCCATGCAAGAATTACCCGGATATTACAACATGGATCTCTTACAATTTCGGTTTGCTCTGCCGGTGAAATTGGCACGTAATCGTACTCTACTGAATGTCCCAAGTCAACTCTTAGACTCATAGACTAGAGAGAAGGAAGCAGGAGTGAAGCTTGCACGACATCAACTAACAAGCACCCCTTAACAAGATCCATTAGAAACTTGATCAACCACGATACAGCAAACTTGACTTCAGTAGAGGGCTCTTGCACTCTCAAATAACCATTCAACTCCCAGTCACGTCAACGCAGCATTTCTGCTCCAGCACGCCATCTCACCAAACCCGCAGCATCCCCAAGTCACGAGCATTCGCATTACTCAGCAGCCTATATCGGACAGCCGTGCTCAAAGGCACTATCTATCAATACGTCGGATTGCCAACAATCCTGCGACATGTCGTGACCGGGGGCGGGGCAGTAGTGGAGAGCGCATGTAGGAGGGGCCGGTCTGTCGTTGGTCCAGCGTCGGCTTCATCGCCATATCGGACCGGGCGGTACCCGCAACTGCGCTTCGACGTATGGACGGATGTAGACGACTCGGTAGTGTCATCGGTACTAACCTCAAGCATGATGCAAGTGTGGAAGGTCCTGCCGCCAGGTGGAATGTCTTCCGCACGCAGGAAGTTTTGAGAAACTGTTGCCAATACTTTGATAACCCAACAAGAAATATCCACGCCTGCTGCTAAAAACGATGTTAATTAACCGTCCATCAATGAGAGTTTGAGCGCCGTAGCCCCGAGTAAACCCATACCACTATCGGGAAACCTTGGTCCTTGTCGGGTTGCTCTTTGATTTGGAGGGGGTTTCGCGGGGGTGTTGATTGAATGGTCAATGGCGATGCAGCCATCTTGGGGAAGAATCACGCAATGCGGGACTACGAGAGCACGTAATACCCCCCCAGCGCACCCAAAGGAACGACAATTCCGATCGACAACAAGAAGCGACTCCGAACACCGGGAGGGGGTGTAAAATCAAAATGGCTCTTATCTTTTGCTAGAGAAAATGACGAGAGAGGAAATGCAAAGAAAAAAAAGTTTAACAATTCTATTGTGAGATTTGGAGTATCCCTCTCCAAGTCCCTTCTTCCCCCTTTTCTCTCTATCCAAGGGTCTTGCATTCCAAGTTTCTGACTTTTACGACTTTCATATTCTGCGTCATCTTTTGAGATAGGAACTGTTGCCCAAGACGAGACAGTGTGCAGCAAAACTACGAGACACACACGACGCCCGCAGACAGCCACTTTCCCATCCCATACCTACCAGAAGGGAACAACTCACCCTGAACGATCGTTAGACTTTGGCCAATGATAACGGCGAGACCCTGAAAGAACATCAGATCACCATGGCAGAAATCCCAGCGACGCAGACCGTGCTCATCCTCCACGCGGCGAAGCAGCCGTACGAGACGGCGGAAGGCTACCAGGTTCCCGAGATCCAAAATGAGCAAGAGGTGCTGGTGAAGACGGAGCACATCGGTCTCAACCCAATCGACTGGAAAGCACCGTATGTCTTAACCCCCTCTCCGATACTCTTCTCATCCAGCGTCTCAAGCAGGCCTTTCCGCAAAGAAAGAGAGGAGTAACCAAAACTGACAAACTGCTCCAAACACTAGCGACTTCAACTTCGCAATCCCAACCCTCCCCTACATCTCAGGCCGCGAACTCGTAGGCCGCGTCGTCCGCCGCCCGCAACCATCATCGACAACAGCAGCAACAACCTCCCAAAAGCAAAGTCAAAGCCGCCTCCGTGAAGGTGACCAGGTCCTCGTCATCTCCACAGACTACCGCGACCTTCGCAAGGCAGCCTACCAGGAATACGTCGTCACCTCAGACTTCAACGCCGCCCGCATTCCGCCCAACGTCTCCCCGCGCGCCGGCGCGACCCTCGGCGTCGCCTTCGTCGCCGCCGCGCTCTCCCTGGCCGTCTGCATGGGCGTAGACTTTTCCCACGTCCTCGACGGGCCGGATCTGCTGACGATCCTGCGCTCCGTTCCGCCGGAAAGTCTGCCGCAGGATATCAGGGCAGAGTGTCTTTCAGGCATCGGCAACCATGAAAGGGCCACGGCGGGCGACTGGGTCGTCATCTGGGGCGGGTCGTCGACCTCTGCGAACTTGGCTGTGCAGCTCGCGCGGCTTGCGGGGTTGAAGGTCGTTACTGTGGTAGATAAGCTGCGTCACGGCCTCCGACTGTCGAACCATACTGTCCTCCGCCCCGATTTACTCGTCGACAGCCACGACCCTGCGCGCGCCATCGACATCATCCGCGCCAACGTCGGAAAAGACCTGCGCTTCGCGCTGGATACCAGCGGTCGGGAGTCCGCCGGCTGGTTGCTCCGCGCGTTGACACCGTCGCAGGATGCCAACGCGCCGCCTAGCCCGCCGGATACGCCTCGCAACTCGGCGCCGACTGTCAAGCACCTCATCGGTCTGACTGGTCTACCCAAGGAGCAGGCACCAGAGGCAGTCGCATACCACACCGTCCCCATCAAGGTCTTCCACGAGGTCCCTGCTGTGGGAGAAGCCCTCGTGACGTGGCTGGAGCGCTTGCTCGAGAGCGGCCTCGTCAGCCCGCCCGAGGTCCTCGGTGTAGAAGAAGGATTCGAGGGCATCAACCGTGGCCTCGACCGAATGAGAAAGGGCGAGATTCGCGGCGGGAGAATGGTCGTCAGTCTCGCGCCAGAGGGGGTTGCGGGCACACAGGAAGATGTCACGAGAGAGGCGAGCGTGCCGCCCGCGCTGGTTGATTCGCCCATGGCGGACGGCGTCGCGGAAGAAGAGCCTCAGCCCTCGGAAACGTCGCAGGCGTCGAGCCCTGAGTTCACCGCCCAGAAGCTTGCCGACACTGGCCTGCGGAGGGGAAGCGCGACATTATGGCAGGCTGGGCCAGCGGGCGATGCGGTTCCTAGAAGCTTTCCTGACGAGCAGACTGATGACAGGTCGAATGCGGCGCCGAGAAGAAACTCTCTGTGGCAGCCCAAGTCAGCGGAAATTGCGGTCGAAAATGGCTCGTCATGACGAGCGTTGATGGAATAGCATCCGAGTTGATTGAATGATGATACAAACGATGGGGTTTACATAGTGGGAGTCTGATCAAGCCAAAATGCTGGATAATTCACCTATCGAGGCAGTCAACAGGCGAAGTAGAATTGGTTCAAAAATAGAAATTGCACATGATCATTGCTAATGGGAAGATTCCAAGAGAGTAACGTGAATTTCGAAGCCCGACCTTCGGTGAAGCGGACTGATGTGACCCCGGATTGGGCGCTACGGGGAAAAGCGGGGGCTACCCGGGGTCAGCCACTCCTCACCGAGCTTGACCTGGTGCCTGGACCCGTGCGTGTCTGCTTGCGTCTCCCCTCATTCCTCTCAACATCCGTCTTTGTCGCCAGTGTGTTTCCGTCAATTAAGCTCATCAGATAAGAGTCTCCCGGCCGCTTGTTGCGTTACCGGACCTCAGCCAGATCTGCAAAACCTACGTGCCTTTTTCCCTTGCTTTACGCAAATGTCTTCTTCTCAGGTTCAGCGCCAGCGGTTGCCGCTGGAACTCGTCTTGAACATCATCGAGAGTCTTCTCCCACCGAATGAATCGTCAATCTTGCCTGCGTCCCATAGTGCAACGAAAGCCCTGATATCATTCAGTCGCGTCTCCCGCTCAACATATGACTTCAGTACCCGGCTGCTCCGCAAGCGATGCATGCACATCGACTCGACAAGCCGCCTGAGCTTGCTTCTGCTGAGTCTCTTCTCACCGTCGCCTAGAAGTCTCCCGCCGACCCTATCACTTAAATGCATCACTTCCCTCTACCTCAGTCCCTTTGGAAAGTCGCTAGATGATAAACCGACGGCCATGTGGGTGCGCGAGCTCTTTTGCGAGGTTTGCGACACCCTCAAGCGCCTTATCGTCGACATGCCGTTCGGGACCTTGTCTGGATACGATGACCACCTCGATGTCAGGCCGACTCTGACGGACGGGTTCCAGCGGCTATCCAAGCTCGAGGAGCTCATCTGTTTACGAGACTATCCGGCTCTGACTTTTATGCAACAGACCTTCACCGTCAACTGCTGGAGCTTGTGGCCCAACCTGAGGCGCGTTGTGTTATTCAATGCACCCATGTCGAGCCACTGGCTCTGGTATGACATAGCAAACACAGCCCAGCTCGAACAAGTCGTTCTCGCGCGACCACTAGTTCCGCCACGGATCAATGTCAAAGACGACTACTACCATATGCTGAACAGCTATGACCACTTGACGCCCCGGAAGATCAAGATTGTGCTTGCCGATGTGGAAAGCGACCTGCCGGAAATAGAGACGACAAGATGGGACGAGTACGACCCCGAGGGAATGCTAGCCATCGAGAAATACGACATCCCAACGTCTTTCTATGGGGATGAGAATGCGACTGATTTGTGCTGCGACTGGGTCAAGATGGCAGCCCTGAACGGGTCAATTTGGGACTGGAAGAGTCACCCAGTGGACAGTCCGCCAGTAAATGCGGTGCAGTAGCAGCTCGATGCGGTGATCGCGAGTGCGAAATGTTCATGATTATCTTTTCGCTTTTCCCCAATTATGGGACGAGTATCTCGGCGATACCCTGAGTAGCCACCACTTCTGATCTCAATGCCATTTTACCTTGAGATGCGGCCCGACAGCTTGCTGCAAGCTAGATCCAAGCTGCACTGTCCCGCATGTATTGGGAGGGGGCAGAGCCTGGGGAACCGGGGTCGGAGTCTGGGGTTAGCAACATGAATTTCCCTAGAAATTAGGTCATTGGTCTAGGCGGGTTGTCTTGGAGTGTACAATAAGGTTGTCTTTTTCTCAACATGGCGTTGCTCTTCTGTAGCTGTGATAGAATAGATACCGCGTTAGATAACCTGAAGAATAGTATATGCTCGCTTTCGGGCGGCACATTGGAGACTTGCTGCGCCGCGGGATTACGCAAAGCGAATGCTGGACGCCACCGACAAATAGGCGTGCGTTCGATGTCCATGGGTGCGTTCGGCTCTTCGCGTCAGCTCTTGTACGTGTTGGTGCTCAACGGCCGGTGGCTGATGATCCTTCGCCTTCGCCTTCGATTCTTGCGGAGTAGACGAGCCGTTGGATGCTGTCTCCCGCTTTTGCTTGTAGCGCTTTAGCAATACCTACCGTCGAATGCCCCTAATTCCCGAGGAAAGGAGTCGGCGGTGTAAGCTGTCCACGAGGGCATTTGATGCGGGGTCCCAAGACAGGTGCTGCCGGTAATCTCAGACATTGGAGAGGACTGAGGGGTAGCGGCAGGTCTCTGACTAGAGTCGGGTTTCTGTCCGCAGCTTCTGACAAGCAATGTCGGGTGCTGGGATCGAGTGCTCCCACTGCTGTATGAATACCTCTGCGTCATAGTGTCAGGGTGCTGGGGAACCGTCTGATGGTTCGGACAGATCGGGAATTTCTTCTCTCGATGTGCAGTATGGTTTGGTATCCGGAGTACAGACGGCGGACGAATAAGAGAAGGATCGGAGCGATGGTGGTCAGCGGGCGCGGAAGAGCGGTCCTTTTGGTGAGGAAACTGGAAAGTCGAGTGACGTTGCATTGGAGAGTTTTGCTTCTCCAACCCCCCACGTCGCAGCGACTAAGCTACTGGGAAAGATGGTGGCCTCGGTCTCCAATCAAGTAGCTTTGAGGAGTGCTGATCACATCTTGAATGTGGTTGCCTTGCAGGAACGTATACGATAGAGACGCGAGTCTCTCAGTCTGCGGTTGGGCCAGCGGAACAAGGTAAGGTGCGGCGAGATCAGGGCGGGCAGGGCTTGATGACTAGAGCCATGGCGGCGGGCTTCCAGAAGATGTTGTGGAACATGCAGGTCGGCGTAGTGGAGGCGGCAAGACGCGGGGCACACCGATAACGTACCAACGCTGCTGTACCCATCTGTTGGTTGGGAAAGTTGAGTACCAATATTCAACATTGACGGACTAAGCAAGGTAATCGAAGAACAGGCGTTATGATTGCTGACTATGCGGCGGGCCAGTCACATCGGCCGATGACTGACAGGAGGAATGGGAGGGGAATCTAGGTCAGACCTGTCCCCATGCCTCCAAGGCAATACATCACTCGAAATGGAAGCTCGGGGTTGACGTGCGTACTCAGGGGGAGTGATGGAAGTGACATGGCGGGGCCCCTCACCACAGTCCGTGTCGGAACAACGGCGGCCGAGTGAGCCGAGCGGGTGGTGCCGGGGCCAAAAGTAGAAAAAAAAAAAAAAAAAAAAAAAAAAAAAGCAGTGGCACTTGCCAATTAAAAAATAAGTTCCTAGGCCGAAAGATGTCATTGGAGGCAGGTTCGCTCTAGAGGAGTTCTTTCCGAGATCATGGCGCGCTTTCTTCAGCAACTGTCCAATCAAAGAAAAAGTTGCAGGAAAGAAAGCGCGGCCCGTCTTTGGGAAGACCCGAATGGGAAGGCTGGGTTTGCAAAGAAGGAAGCAATATGGGGAACGTACCTTAGGAAAAGGAAAGCGTCGGGGGCAACGCGCGGTAACGGTGAGTGCCCTCTTAGATGGGGAGAGTACAGGTACCTAAGGTACTGCCTACCTCGCTGGAATCAATTGACGGGATGCAATGACGGCCGCAGCGGCGCGCATAATGAGGCGGCGGCAGGCGCAGCCAAACACCTTCCATTCTTTCCGTTCCCTTGCCAGATGGGATTTTGCCGAGAGCCATTGGATTCCTGCATTTTACCTCCTTCGTCCCCTTTTCTGTGTGTACCTAGCAGTCGGGCAAGTTGTGTATGCATACTTAAGGTATCCTGCACTTGAACTTCTTCCGTTTTCCCGTCTTCCCCATCCCGTCTACTTTGTCTTACCTTGGTACCTTAGCCGTATAACCCCTCGCCGACTGCACACCGACTCTCAAACCGCGGCTGGAGGGGCCCTCCTTTGACTGACAGAGCAAACAACAGGAGTAATGCCTGCTCTTCGGCTCTCTTGAACCAACAGCGCACACGCAGACCAACAAAGCAGACAGACGTTCTGCAGCCCATCTGCTACCATCCTCGTCGCATTCTCATGCTGCTGGCAATACTGGCTGCTGTCGCCGCCGCTCTCGCTTCGCTCCTGGAAAACGACATGCGCCACTGACCATACTGCGTCCTTTGCCTACGTCCCCCGACCCCCGATCCCCTCGGTCGGTGGTGAACCCCCGTCCACCTACTTGATTTCTCCATTTTACCCCGTTTTTTTCACTCTGCCACCCCCCCGTCCATCCATTCCAGCAACCTGGTGTGTTCCATCGTAGACCCTCTTTCCCAGTCCACGTCTCCAGTTTCTAGCCTGCTTCTCCAGTTCTCGCCTCGTCTCTCTCCTCGTCACTTCTCCTCCTCTTCCCTTTCGCCTTACGCCGAGCTTCTCCCACAGCCTTGCCCTCTGCGGCTTGACATCGTCAACCAAACTCTTTACAAGCCGTCTTCAGTGTTTTGGAGAGACAATGTTGGATCCCTGTATCCCTACTGGCCCGGTCTTCACAGCATTATGAACTTGCGATTCCTCTACCTACAGAAAGCATAGGTAAATTTGGCTTCCGTCCTGCGCCCTCGGGAAGACGGGTGTAACGCACCACGACCACTACCTTGGGACTTTTTCACAATTCTTCGGAGACACTTGTGCTGACCATTATTCTTCCTCCAGGAGCCGCACATCCCCGAGAATCGCGCTCGTCCGCGCATAAATCCGATCTCCTCCACGTTACCTCGACTGTCCCGAGCCTCCCGATTTTTCCATTTTCCAATATGCCCGACAAAAACGTGACCACGATTTCCTACGCCGCCGGCGCATCTTTGGCTGCCATTGCCCTTGTCTACGTCTTTGCGCCTACATTTACAATCGACGAGTCCAGCACCTCATCGTCACGTAGGAAAGGCGTGGTCGGCTTGCGCAATGCTGCAAATGATTGCTTCATTAACTCGACCCTGCAGGCCCTCGCGGGTCTCGGCGAGCTGCGCATGTACCTGATTCGCGAGACTCACCGCCGAAATATTGACGATGAAGGC